TTTCCCAACAGCTCTCAGAATTGTCAACACAACGCAAACAAAACTCTAGTAAACAACGATTCAAGCATGGTGAATCTCTCGTGCGGGTCACCTGCATGCAAGAAGTTCTGAATTATTTTAGCTTCTTACTCGGTGCAATTTGAGCATTCCTTCTCATAAAAACCTTTTTGTCGAAATATTTCTTTGTAATCTTTGCTTTACTTTACAGTTGCAATTTTCGGTCAGCAGACGGTTATTCGGCCTCGACAAATGGGCCTATTGACTTTGAAATCAGATTGCCAAGCACTTTCTACAATTTTTATCCAAAATCTTGATTTCAGAGCACATTTTGAAAAAAATATCATCAATTTATGTTTGAGTTTAGGGTATCATATTGTTTTGTTTCGTAAGAGCTTGTTTTAATTAAAAAAAATTATTTAATTTAGATTCATCGCCCACTGTATTTTTAAAAAGTTATTTTATTTCTAGTAAACAGTGAAACAACAAGGTCGACAACAACTGGTTCATACTTCAGCTGGGCATCCATCGAAATATGAGGCACTTGGAAAGTTTGGAGAGAACGAAGAATTTGTAAGAGCTTTGCGAGGCGCAGACAAGAGCAGCCTTGCTCCTTGAGTACTCTCCAAACTTATATCTCTACGCGGGAATGCAGACTTATAAGCCAAATGCTAATGATAACTCTTTAAAATGGAAAAATGGCGAAGTGACTGACATTCGTTTAATTAACAAATCGACTGTGGTTTAGCGTGGCCTGTACTCTTAACGACTACGATATTCGTCATTACAATGAACAAAATTATGTGGACTAATGTGGCGCAGGAAAGTGGGTTCGCGATCAAATTTGGACATTACCTCCAACTAGGGGAAGTATTATGCATCGTTACCTGCGAGGGACCTGTGCTCGAATCCAGCTGTTGTGAGCACTCGTCACAATAAGAGTGAAAGCTCCTTTAGCTGTTGTCATATCACAGTAGACCGGGAGGTAATGAGTATCACTGGTTTTTATCAGTTGAAAACTATCGTCATACTTGATACCAGCTCTCACTCCGTGTAATTTCAAATCGTTACAAGATAACCTGTTAAAAGAAGAATCCCTCTTAATTATAGAGTTGAATGACGTTTACGATCAACG